CGAATCGATAGACTTCCACAAGTGAAATACACGTGTGTAGATTTGGGGGAGGGCTGAAAGCAGCATCGGTAAAAGGTTAAGTAAGCATTGGTTGGGATCCCTGCACCTAAAATGCGAGTGTGGCGCATCTCTAAACGTGCCAGAACTTACAAGAGAAAAGAAAGCTGATATGGGTAAGAATGTCCATCCCAAGCACTGTCGAAATCCATAGACTTCCACAAGTGAAATACACGTGTGTAGATTTTAAGCAAGGCTAAAAGTAGCATTTTTAAAAAGTTAGGTAAGCATTGGTTGGGACTGCCNAAGTGAAATACATGTGTGTAGATTTTAAGCAAGGCTAAAAGTAGCATTTTTAAAAAGTTAGGTAAGCATTGGTTGGGACTGCCCTGCACCTAAAACGCGAGTATGGCGCATTTCTAAACGGGCGAGAACTTACGAGAGAAAAGAAAGTTGATACTGGCAAGAATGTCCAACCCAAACACTGCGCCAATCAATAGTTTTCCACAAGCGAAATGCACGTTTGTAGATTTGGTGGAGGGCTAAAAGTAGAGTTTTTAAAAAAGTTAAGTAAGCATTGGTTGGGATCCCCGCACCTAAAACGCGCGTGTGACGCAGCTCTAAATGTGCATCTCTAAATTCTCTCAGAACAGGGCTGTATTCCTCTAAGGCTGTGGGTTTTATTCGTAGAAACACTGCGTTTTTATAAATCGTTTAGAAATTCTTCGATCAGTTGAAATTTATGTTGCTGGCACATGAGTGGACACGTTATATGTAGACCGTGATGTAAGATACCTTAAACTATTTTTACTGTTTCTGATGCACTGCTACGTTAGTCTGCTTTACAAATATTTAACTGCTCTGGTCGAGTTTATAATTTCAATATGATTAAACGTTCTTTTTATGCGCTCTGTTAATAATGATGCAAAGTTGTCAATTTTAGTAATTTCAATTTGAAGACAAGGTTCTGTTAGTACCTTGTTACTTGATGAAAATTTTGCGGGGTTTGTTTTACCAGGGCGCTTCATGACGCCTGCTGGAATAAGCTATACCTTCCCTAGTTGAATCGTCATCAGTTTATCGTACGTTATNCTCTGGTCGAGTGTTTAATTTCAATATGATTAAACGTTCTTTTTATACGTTCCTGTTAATAATGATGCAAAGTTGTCAATTTTAGTAATTTCAATTTGAAGACAAGGTCCTGTTAGTACCTTGTTACTTGATGAAAATTTTGCGGGGTTTGTTTTACCAAGGCGCTTCATGACGCCTCCTGGAATAACCTATACCTTCCTTAGTTAAATCGTCATCAGTTTATCGTACGTTATTTAGGTTATTGATTGAAAAAATAATTATACTTTTGAACCTTAGTTCCTCTATTTTCAGGGGATGGCGGGTGGGCTCACTTCTTTCGGAGGTCGTTACTTACCGCCATGTATTAAGTTTCTCCTCGCGCTTTTTTTTTTTTTGCCCTCGGCTGTGTATTTGTTTTTTTTGCCCTCGGCTGTGTAATTGTGCGATATTTTCTACCCAATAACTTCAATTGCCGAGCATGACAATACTGCACGTGGCTCCCACTGCCAATGACATACTCAGATAAGTATTCTAGATCATCTGGGTTTTTATTCCTTAAGATCTGTGTTAGATTGATTAATCAAACGCTCCTTTACGCCCAGACAAGCATCTCGATGCAAGCTCAGAGTTTATTGTGATGGCTTTCATTGCGTAAACAAGACATTTACGTCTGCTCGCCGCACTTAACTTCCATTCGTAGGCACTTTGGCATCTTTAAGTTCAGTTTGTAGATCTGAACTTGGTTCAGGGGGAGAAGCAGAGGAAGGTTCATGTTGTGTAATTCGTTCGTTTTCGGGGGATTACTTGATTTATCGGCATTCCCCGGTTTTGTCCGCCCACGTTTTTTTCCTGCCCAAGTCTTTCTTCACGTGTGTTTAGACGTGATCCGATATATAATGACCTTGTTTTGTTCCAGATTATTGGCGTCGGTGGAGTCCGCCATCATTTGAAAGCATCGGGAATGACTCGAACGCACWATTRACTTTTAAAGSACTATTAATARCGTGACTTCATTTTAAAGCTTGTCTCATATTCCATCGGCCCTTTCTGGTTTATTTTTTATTTAATATCATCGACATGTCACTGAAACAGATTATGATGCCTTCCCTGGCCGCAAGACGAAGAACCCTAGCGAGAGTATGTAAGGAATACTAGGAAAATTTCCTACCATTTCTCTGCGGTACTTACAGTAGAAGCCCCGTGCGTCCCGTCATGCTAAATTATGTGATAAAGTGTGATAGCGACTTAAAAACAGTTTCAAACTGACTCGTTTTGCTTTCGAGTTGCGTGAGAAATTTGAAGCCTTTCCGAGTCCGCGTGAATAGAAATCGTTTCCGAACCCGTCAGGCACACAGTGGAGATATAATCAATATCTTACTAACCTCGTCTTCTCGGTCCGCACTGTAAGTTACGGATCCTCGTTTTTTTCCCCTTCGATATATGACCCGCGCGCTTTGCGCTTGGGCCATAAATCGAAGGGGAAAAAGCTCGGTCCGTAACTTACAGCACGGACCTCGAACTCGGTAAGTAAGAGGTATAGCTCGAGAAGCTGAAGCTAAAAAACTGAAAATCGGAGTTTTCATTGATGGTAATATCGAATTTTATTAAAGTTACTACGCACGCTATGATTGGTCAGTTTAGCTGATTGTATTTTACTGTATGCTAACATAGCAAATAAAAGTTTTAAAATTCATTTTACTTTAAGTTGTGCATTAAAACGTGTTAACGAGTTAACAATGATTTCCAATTGACTCGTTTTGCGTTTTTGAAGCCGTTCCGCGTGAATAAAAATCGTTTTCGAACCCGTCAGACGGCGAAGAGATTTAATAAAGGTCTCACAAATATCGTATTCTCGGTCCGTACTGTAAGTTAGGTATTCTCGGTTATCCCCTTCGATTTGAGGTATACATTTTCTCTGTAGTTATTCATTTTATGTTTTCTGATAAAGGGGAAAGGTTTCTGAAAAGGGGCGTGGTAATTATGTCTCGACTCCGTCCGCTGTCGTCGAATCAAGAGAATGTCAATGAAGTGGCAAGAAAATCGGCACACTGAAAGAAGCAGAAGAAGCAAAGTTTTCCTTCGAAAAATAAGTCAACCATTGAAAGGAAACAGCAATGCTTTCCAACTGGCAAGGGAATTTGACTACGAATACGGGGCTTTTCAACAAGGAGAAAAAAAATACTGAAAGTTAAGGGTTTTTTTGTTAATATATGTATATTTTTTATGCAGTGCTAAGAATAATATACCAGCGTGTGTTAAATAATGGTGGACCCTGATCAGGCAGAAGACATGTACAATGGCTTTCAACAAAAGCATTATTCGGTACCCAACTCATAAATACATTGATTAGAGGATGCAATTTTTATCGCTTTAACGATATGAATAAAAATAGGCTCAGTGTAATTTTTTTTTCAGACTGGTGTAATGACAGAGGAGTGACAGGATAAACGTTTTCCGAGCTGAGTGACATGGAGTTGGACCAGGTTTTTCTGCGATTTTACGCCGAAGCCCGGGCGAAGGATGGCGAATTATACAGTCGCTCCTCATTACTGGCCATAAGAAATGCAATTGAACGGTTCTTAAACAACNTACCAGCGTGTGTTAAATAATGGTGGACCCTGATCAGGCAGAAGACATGTACAATGGCTTTGAACAAAAGCATTATTCGGTACCCAACTCATAAATACATTGATTAGAGGATGCAATTTTCATCGCTTTAACGATATGAATAAAAATAGGCTCAGTGTAATTTTTTTTTTCAGACTGGTGTAATGACAGAGGAGTGACAGGATAAAAGTTTTCCGAGCTGAGTGACATGGAGTTGGACCAGGTTTTTCTGCGATTTGACGCCGAAGCCCGGGCGAAGGATGACAAATTATACAGTCGCTCCTCATTACTGGCCATAAGAAATGCAATTGAACGGTTCTTAAACAACCGTTCACACAATAGAGACATAAAATAACAAAAGGTGAAGCCTTTACTTGGCCTCCTACGCAACGTGTGGTTTAACACTTCCCTCCACTGGTGTAGAAGAGGCTGCGAGAGTCAACGCGAACTCCGTGCTAACAGCTTTGTGTTCGAAGTAGATAAGGATTGCCGTCCGTACGCTCGCATGTATGTGGACGTGCTTGGGGTAATAATAAGGTGTTAAAAATAGCGTTCATCTTTTAAACCTGTCAATCATTCGATATTCATCTATTGGATGTGTATGAGGAAATAAGAAGGGGTTATAAAAAGTGTTTAAATTCGTTCGTTAGAATATGTATTTTCCTTCGGAAGTTCAGCGTGAGCACGCATGTGATTTATGCTAACACATCTTGTGTTAGCACGTGGAGTCTCTCGAGACTCCAGTCGGAATATATATAAGGAGTGAATAGGTTGATATATTCATCAAGTGCGACACTACTCGACGGTGCTTGCAGTTTTCTTGTTTGTTTCATCGTGTTTGAGATGCCCTCGAGTCCCGAAATTTCGAAGAACCCTAAAGAGTCTGCTACGGAGGACGTTTTCGAACGTTTTAACACGTACCTTGACCACAAGATTGAAAATCTCTCGTCGGGATTAAGCT